TCGGGGTGGCCTGGCTGCTGTCCCTCCTCATCTCCTTCGTCCCTGTGCAGCTCCAGTGGCACAAGGACCGTGGGATGTTAAAGCAGCCAGGTTTTAACGCCTCTGGGGAGGAGGAGAGCTGTGCTCCCAGGCTCAGCAGGCCCTATGCCATCTCCTCGTCCCTCATCAGCTTCTACATCCCCGTTGCCATCATGCTGGTGACCTACACCCGCATCTTCCGCATCGCCCGGCGCCAGATCCGCAGGATCTCCTCCCTGGAGAGGGCCCTGGGACACGCCCAGAGCTGCCACAGCCCTCGGGAAGCCTCCCTGAAGAGCTCCTTCAAGAAGGAGACCAAGGTCCTCCAGACCCTCTCCGTCATCATGGGCGTCTTTGTCTGCTGCTGGCTGCCCTTCTTCGTGCTCAACTGCGTGGTGCCCTTCTGCGAGCCCGGCCTCCACGAGCCAGGAGAGCTTCCCTGCGTCGGCCAGAGCGTCTTCAACACCTTTGTCTGGTTTGGGTGGGCCAACTCTTCCCTCAACCCCGTCATCTACGCCTTCAACGCGGAATTCCGGAGGGCTTTCGCCGCCCTCCTGGGCTGCGGCTGCGCCGGCGGCGCCGTGGAGACGCTGACCCTCAGCAACGAGCTGGTGTCCTACCACCACGACACCGCCTTCCAGGGGGAGCTGGTGACCCTCAGCTACCCCCAGCTTCTCCCCCACGCTGTTCTGGGGGTGGAAGACACCGAGGGCTCCTCGGAGAAGGTTTCCCAGGTCTCCTCACCCTCGCTGGGGAAGGTCCCACCTCCCGCCAGCAACGCCTTTCACTGAGAGCTGGGAAAGGGAGAAGGGTGGTGGGATGGTCTCCAGGAGAGATGGGAGCTGGGACACTGTTGCCATTGCCTGTTTATCGAGGAGTCTGTTTGCATTTCTAAGTGTGGCTCCAGGGGCTCAGATCCCTGTTTTTGTAACTCAGTTCTGGATCCAGCCCGGGTGGGATCAGTGTTTGCTGCTTTCTTTAGCTGACCCATGGGAAAAAAAAAAAAAAAAGAAAAAATCCCAACACCTTCTGCAAAAGATGTAAATGGAGGGGCTGGAATTCCTCTTTCCTGGTGACTTCAGCTGAGAAAGCAAAGACTTGTGTGGTCATGGAGTAAAACCCAGCTGTGGCTGTGGGGAGAGGGGGTGCTTTGGGCACTGCCCGTGTCCTGTGACCAAGGTCCAAATCCAGCTGGTCGCTGGCCCCAGGCTGGTAAATGGGCACTGGCCAAATCCAGCTGCTCCCTGGGTGCCAAGTGCTGCTGGCAGAGCTGGAGAATCCTGCCTGGAGCTCGGTGGGATGTGCTCTGCAGCAGCTTTAGCCAGGGAAACCCACTTCCCCAGTGGGCTGTGCAGGAGGGAGGTGATGGATTTGCCTGGATAATCCCTTTGGCTCATCTCTGGCTGTGTCTGCTGCTCAGGCAGATTCTCTTGCAGCTCTGGACAGGCACCTTCCCTGGACCCCTGGGGCTGTGCTTGGGAGCAGCTCGTCTGTGTTGCAGGAAGGATTTGACAGGATGAGGGTCTGCTCTGGCCATGGAATGGGAATCAGCCTCTCTGAGCTGGGACATGCACAGCTGAGGGCGGCCTGGGCTGGACAGAAACTGTGTTTTAGCCCCTGGACGTTGGGCTGTTTGCTTGGAGCCTTTGGGAATGAGGGAGTCTGAGCCCTTCAGAGGGTAGAGGAGACAAGCAGATGTAAAAGCAAGAGCACTGCTCTGATTGCTGTGCCTCCACCACATCTTCCATCAGCCAGATCCTCCTTTCCCGAGACTGTTTCATCCCCCTTGTACTTTGTTCTCCCTCTAATTCCCTTCCTCCCCCATTTCATTAAGGATCCATCCGCTCAGCCTCCCTTGCTGCCTCATTTCAATAATAAAGGCTCCTTACGAGCCCTCCTCGCTCCCCTGTGCTCCCTAATCAGCCTCTGGGAGCTCGTGTCTGATAACCGGGGGCAGGAACAGCCCCCAGCGTTTCATTCCGGCTGTGACGGGGGACTCGGGGAAGGTGTTTTGATCCGTGCCTGGTTAAACCCCCTCAGCAGCGCCCGGCACATCCGCGTCGTCTTGGATCCCAGACATCTTTAGCTCCCTGGCACGGCAGAGAAGCCTCTCCCCCTCCCCAGGAAACGGGAACAAAGGGGAAAATCAGCGAGTGATAATTACGGAGTGATGGTAATTGTTAAATAGAGCCCAGCTACAGTCGAGTTACAGCGTGGGAGGGGAGCAGAGCTCACAGCAGCTCCGAGGTGGGCGCTTGGATTTTCCTAGGGAAGCACTGGCAAGGCTCAAATCCGTGTACAACCACGTCCCCGGGGGGCTGCTGTCCATCCATCCCGTCCATCCCCAGAGCATCCCTCCCGTCCATCCCCAGAGCATCCCTGCCGTCCATCCCCAGAGCATCCCTGCCGTCCATCCCCAGAGCATCCCTGCCGTCCATCCCCAG